GATGGCGACGGGGCTGACGCTGACCTCGTACTGGGGCTTCTGGGCGTCTGAGTCGGGAGTCTCTAGCTCGGCTGGTGTGGCGCTTGAGATGAAGCACCTGCTGAACATCTTGCACCGCGGGGTCACTTACGACATCCTCGACGCGTCGAACCTCGCGTCGTTCGAGCTGGCGGGGAGGAGAATCCTACAGATCCAGAGGGCTGTCAAGAGGTGCCCTCGACGCCCGAGCTTCGAGGGCCTGGGTCTGATGTCGAGCAGTTCTCTGGACGAGAGTGGGGGCGAGGTGACATCGCGCATCGATGCGTTCGTCGCAGAGGAGCAGATGGCCCAGGGCATCATCATGAAGCAGGACAGGCCTTACCGCGAGCAGTAGGAGACGGAGGCCAGGAAGTGCGAGAAGGGCGACGACGAGCGCAAGGGGCCCAAGGCGGACGCGAAAGCCAAGGCGAAGACCAAGGCGAAGGCGCCCGCCAAATATCAGGCTTGATGGCGCCAGGCGGCGCCACCCTGGCTGGGCGAACCGCCCGGCCTCACCTTGCCGAGCTCGATTGTCGCGATTGGGGCCGCGCGCCGGGCTGGGCGGCATTCCGAGGGCAGGACTTCGTCCGCAGTTTTGTTTCCTCTTCCGCAGGGCGACGGCTTTTTTCGCCATGCTCGGCGGGGAGAACGCGCCGCTCTACCTCGGTATCTGGCTCAGCGTGCTGCTCGCGCTGGCGATCGCGACCATCGGTCTCTGGAGGCCCTGGGGGCGCTCAACGCTTTGGCGGCCGCTCGTGCCGAGGGGCGCCTCGAGCCTCGAGCGCCTGGCATGCGTCGGCCGACTGCCGCGCAGGAGTCGGTCATCAAGCGGGTTCGCCGTCGCGTTCGCAGCCTCGGGGGCCGCCCGAAGGACATGGATTCCGCTGGGGCCCTGCAGGAGCTCCTCAAGCGCAAGGGCCCTTACTCGAGTATGGGCGAGAGCTCGATTCGCCTCGACTATGATGCTGATGAGCTCAATGTGCTGCGACGGCCCCCCATCGGTGCAGCTTCAACGCATGGCCTTTCGCGCGTCGCAGAAGTATTTGACACCTTCGGTTCCGATGTGGCGCGGCCCCGCGCCAACGTTCCCGAGGGCCAGGAGATCGTCGAGCGGCCGCCCGGGGCCTGGTCGACGGCCGCTCGCGGCGGAAGGCGCGTGTCAGCACTTTCTTCGTGGCCAAGAAGAACGGCGACATCCGCGTGGTCGCGGGCGCCCGCCAGCCGAACCAGCTCCACAAGCTGCCGCCGAGGATTGTGCTCGCGTCGGGCGAGGCGCTGGGGTCGATCAACCTGCGTGACGCGATCGACGCGACGCCGGAGGACCTGGCCGACTTCGACGGCTGCTGCGAGTCGCTCTGCGCTGGCTCGGTTGACCTCATGGGCGGCTTCTACTTGTTTGCCGACCCAGCCCGGGGTGGCTGGATGTGTTTCGACTTGGTGGTCACCGCGGACGAGCTCGGCATCGACTCCGTCTATGACGAGAAGCTGGGGCGCCGCGCGTCCGTGCCGGGGGGCGAGCGCCTCTGGCCCCGCTTCGCTGCGCTGCCTATGGGCTGGAACTGGGCCCTCGGATCTACCACGAGGTTCTCGTCGACGCGACGGACGCGGCAGGGCCCCCGGGCGACGGCGGGTGTCTTGACAAGGCTCGATCGCCGACTCTCGTCGGCGACTCGGTCGCCAGGGCGCCGCGCGTCGACGACGGGAACCTGGTCTCGCTCAGCGCGCCGGCGATCAACGACCAGCTCGCGAAGCTCACTGCTGAGCTGGACAGGCGCGGGCTGCGCTGGCACGAGCTGGAGGGCTGCCCAACCGGGGCTGGTCATCCTCGGGATGATATTGGACGGCCGCGAGGGCCGACGACGGCACGCTGGCAACCGCGCCTGGAGGCTCTATCTTGCACTACATCACCTGCTGCGGGAACCTTGGATGGCGCGCTGGCAGCTGCGGCGGATCGCGGGGCACCTGGTACACTACTTCTCGGCGCTGCGGCCAGGGCTCAGCGCCCTGGGCGCCTGCTACGCCCGCATCGCGAGCGGCGACTTGGCAGAGGTGTCGAGGCTGCCGCTGGACGCGCTCGGCGAGCCGGCGACCGCGGCAGGGCTCGATCTTCTTGGGCGAGGTTGACCTGCGCCTCGTGCCCTCGGACGTCGCCGTCACCGCTGACAGCTCCCTGCTGGGCTATGCGGCGTGCGAGGCCCGCCTGGGGCCCTGGGGGATTCTCGCCACTACGAGGTGGCGGGGGCGGCAGCGGTTCGTCGCGACCGAGATCGAGATCGCCCCGGACGACGAGCAGCACGAGGGGCGCGCGGTTGGCTTCGCCGACGCCTCGGAGCCGCTGCCGATCGAGGCGCCGCCGCGGCCGAGGAATGCGGTGGCGAAGCGGCGGCGGGAATGAAGGCCTCCAGTGCCTCAAGCTGCTTCTTTGCTATGTTGGGCCCCGCTGGCTGGTGACTCTCCTCTTCCTCTTCCCTTGCTGCATCCTCGCGCTGGGCTGCCTCCTCAAACTATGAAGCCAACTGCTGCGCTGCCGTGACCAACTGCGCGATGTGGCTATCCTGAGGGGCTTCGGCTGCGAGCGACTCCAGCGAAACCTTGACATAATTAATATCACCAAGGTGCGCCCGTGCCGTAGATGCCCATGTCTGAGACTGCTGATCCTGCTCGGACTTGAGCTGCTTCTCTGCCTCCTCGAGGCGCTGCTGCTACTGCTGCCCATCATCCCGCATCGTTTCATTAAGCTTCTCCATCTGGCCAACGAAATTGGTGCTATCAAGCAACTGCTTGCGCAACTTCTCAACTTTGCCCGTAGCACGTTTGACTCAGATATTGGCACGCTGAACTTAATCGTGGCGTGGCAGGTTGACCGCGGCCTGCTCCTTGAACTGCGCAAGCTTGTGCCTGGACGCCGTCACGCTCTGCTCGTGACCTGGGACCAACTTTTCGGTGACCGAGCTGGCCGAGGCGATGTACTTCTCGAGAGATTCAATATGGTTTTGGAGTTTATTTGAAGCAGCAGAGTGTTGCTGTTTGTCATAATCTGCGTCATCATCACTCTGTTTGGGGCGGCTTGGGACACTGCTGTCCCCATATTTGTTCTGACAGTACTTGAGGTCCGACTGTCCTGCACCAGCTCCTGCTCCATTTGACTGCGATGATGCTTGCCCAGCTCCCGATTGGTCATTTCCTTCCCCTTTCCTTGAAAGCCAACCATCAGGCGGCTGAAAGTTGACTCCACAATACTTGCACTGGCGAATGCCTGCGTCCAGATACACCCAACTGCGAGAACAATTCTGGCAAGCAACCCAACGCCGCGGCTTGCCGCTCGCCATGGCTGCGGGTTGCTGAAGAAAGCGGTGAATGGTGGATATGTGCCCAGGGAAAACGGGGGAAGCGACCGGCAACGGCGACGACGACGACGACAACGACCACGACCACGACGAAGACGACGACGACGACGAGTCAAATTAAACAGCCTCCCACACGCCGACATGGCCGGCTCATTTGTGTCAGCGTTTTTGTTGCTTTCTGTTTCTACCCGTTTTTCTTCCGGCCGATTGTAAGCGCTGCCAGACTTTCACGGGGGTGCTTTTGCCCGCGGAGGCCCCCCGTGCTGATCGCGCTCGTGGCCGCCGGCGCGGTCGCGCTGTGCGTGGCGCTCTACCCGGTGCCCTCCAAGGCAGGCCGGTTTTCGGGTTTTGGGTTCGCCCAGCTGGGAGGGGCCCAGGCTTCCCAAATGGGGTCCGGGTAGAAGGGGTCGGAGGATCGCGTCGGATCGCCGATACATCGGCGATGCGGCTCGGTGTGGAGCTTGATTTTCTCCACGCCGACGGCCCCGATGCATCGCCAACGTTGCCGACGCTTCGGCGATGCATCGGCGATGCGGCGCGATCCTCTGCGACAAATGGGAGGCCTCTGAGGTTAAGTCGGGCATGTCCCTCTACAGGAGGAGTATTCCAGAATAAATCGAAAATCGTCCGGGGACGATTGTCCGTGCTCCTTGGACTATCTTTGTTTCTTTTCTGGATCTGCTGTATTCTTCTTCCCGAGTCCGCCTGTAGGAAGACATGCCCGACCGAACTCTGACCCCGGGAGCGCGGGGAAGCCGCAGTTTCCCATCGTGGGTTCCCTCTTGCCTCCCCTTTGTCCCTTCCCATTGGCCTCGCCCCCCCCCCCTCGTCCCCTCGTCCTCCCCTAGTCCTTCCCTCGTCCCCTCGTCCTCCCCTCGTCTCTCCCCTCGTCCCTCCCCTCGTCCCCTCGTTCTCCCTCCCTCCCCCTCGTCCTCCCCTCGCCCCTTCCTCGTCCTCGTACCCGCCCTCCCCTCCCCTCGTCCTCTCCTCGTCCCTTCCCTTTGTCCTTGTCCCTCCCCCTTGGTCCCTTCCCTCCCCTCGTTCTTCCCCTCCCCTCGTGCCTCCCCCCCCCCTCGTTCCCTGCCCTTCGTGCCTCCCCTTCCCTCGTCCCTTCCACTTGTCCCCCTGCCTGCTCCCCTCCCTCCTGCCCTACATTCAGCCCGCCCAGTAAGGACTGCGGTCAGCCCGCATAGTGAGGATGGGCAACCTTCCCAAGGGTACCCTTGCATCTTTGCCTCCTCGGCCCATCCTTGGCCTCTTTCGTTGGCCGCGCCCCGCTCGCAAAGTGTCGAAAAGGCCTTCCAGGGCCCTTGCGTCCTTATCGTGCATCCTCATGAGTACGGGCCGACTGGAGGAGGAGAAAGAGGAGGAGGAGAAAGAGGAGGAGGAGGAGGAGGAGGAGGAGGAGGAGGAGGAGGAGGAAGAGGAGGAGGTGGGGAGGGGGAGGGGGAGGGGGAGGAGGAGGAGGAGGAGGAGGAGGAGGAGGAGGAGGAGGAGGAGGAGGAGGAGGAGGAGCAGGAGCAGGAGCAGGAGCAGGAGGAGGAGGAGGAAGAGGAGGAGGAGGAGGAGGAGGAGGAGGAGGAGGAGGACGAGGGACTCTCCGAACCTTGCGGCCCTGCCCCTCCGGAGCCCACCCTTGGCCGCTCTCGTTGGCCGCACACCGCCCCCCCGGGCATCCGGCTGCTCCGATGTTTGTGCATGCGTGGGCCCCCCAAAGTCCGGACCAGCTCCCTATAGGGCCAGTCTTTCGTAGTTTTTTTCGTAGTTGTTCGTTGTTTTTCGTCCTGAGTTTTTTCGTTGTTTTTCGTCCTGAGTTTCAGTACTGAGTCCTTCCAGGACGAAAAACTGCAGTCTTCCTATACAAGGGCGACCTCGAGGGCGCGAAGCTATTCGTGCTTCGCGCTTCGCGCTTCGGCTCCGATTCCTCCTCATCCTCCTCTTCTTCCCTGGGAGGCGGCGCGAGAGCGCGAAGTTATTCGCAAGTCGCGCAGCGCGAAGCGCGAAGTTGGGGGCCCTTGCTTTTAGGGCCTGAGTTGTTCGTCCCGACTTTTTTCGTAGCTTTTCGCCCTGGGTTCCAGTCCTGAGTTTTTGCCAGGACGAAGAACTGCAGTCTTTCGTCCCGAGTCCTTTTTGTCACGCTCCCGCGGCCCAGCGAGGGCCCCCGGAGGCCGAAAAGGGCCAACAAAAACCGCCCGCCCAATTTTTGCTCGGGAGCGTCGGATCTCGAGGCCGCAGACGTGCTGGCCTTGCAAGGCCCCCTGCACGTGGGTGAATCTCTTCGTGCACCAACCCGATCTTGCGCACCCTGCGCGGGAGTACGACGCCACGAAAGTGTCACGACATTCGGCTCCCGAATGCGTTGCGTCCCCATCTTAATTTGGGGCGGCTTGGGAGGGCAGGCAGAGGAGGCGGAGGAGGAGGAGGAGGAGGGAGGAGGGGGAGGAGGAGGAGGAGGAGGAGGAGGAGGAGGAGGAGGAGGAGGAGGAGGAGGAGGAGCAGGAGGAGGAGCGCGCTTGCTCCTGGGCCAGGCGCTCCCGCGCATCCTTGCTGTACGGGTGGGCTGTGGTGCCCCACCCGCCGCTGGGGGCTCTGTCCATCGAGCCTGTTTCCTCCCGCCCGGGCGCAGACCCCGGCGGGCACCATCGATTGGTGACGGCACGGCGTGGGCGCACAAGTTTCTGCCGGGCGCATCCCCAGACGTGGTCGCGTCGTCGGACATTTCAGGACGGGAGGTTTCTGGCCAGCTTCGGCTTCGGGGGGCCCTCGCCGGGCCTCGGGAGCGTCAAAAAACGACTCTGGATGAGACACCGGTCCTGGGGACAGGGTCGGGATCGACTTCCGGGGACCCCGTCTTGAACAAATCAGGACGTCGCATGTCTGGGTCTGTTGCTCCCTGGAGGACCTCCCCCTGCTGTGAAAGCATGCCTCCAAACAAAATATTCGCCCGAGGAGGACAGTCGTCCAGGCCGGGGTCGCCTTGAGCAGACGAAAGCCCGTCGGAAACGAAAGATGGACGACAGGAAAGCAGCGGCAGCGACGGTCGGGAGGAGCGAACAGCGGACGAAACAAAAAGCGGACCAACCGAAGGCGATCGAGTTTTATTCATTGTTTTGCCGATCGGCGCGGGCCCTCGCACCCCCCCCTCCCCCCCGCCTCCCCGTGGAGTAGATCTTGGCTGTTTTTGGCGCCTGTTTCAGGCAGGTGGGGTCTCCCCCATAGGATGCACTGCGGCAAACAATCGCATGAAGCAGAGGTCCAGAGCCAGACCACCCCCCTCCTCCCCCCACTTCCCGCCCAGTGTCGAAACGCCGAACCAGAAAACGCTCACCTTGGCGAACGAGAGGCGGAGTGCATGCCCCTCCCTGCCCGCCCTGCTCACCCCTGGCTGCCCCCCCCAATCGTGGCCTTGATGCGCCACGGGCTGCCCCGGCACAGCTCAGAGCCTCCCATGCCCCTCCGGAGCAGTTCCCGGCCTGCCGGGAGTCGTGTACGCGCGGGCGCCGAAGCGTGACCCCCTTCCCACCCCCTTCCCATGCCTCCCTCCCTCCCTCCCCTCCTCCCTCCCTCCCTCCCTGCCCCACCCTCCCCTACCTCCCTCCCTCCCCCACTCCCCTCCCTCCTCCTCCCCTCCCCCTCCCCCTCTCCCCTCCCCCCTCCCCCCCCTCCCTGCTCCCCTCCTCCCCTACTCCCCTCCCTCCCCTCCCCTCCTCCCCTCCCTCCCCTGCTTCCCCTCCCTTTCTCCCCTCCCCTCCCCTCCCCTCCCTGCCGGCTGGCTCGGGTCACGGCGTGAAGATGGTTCAGGCCTTCATGGGGCCAGTGTTGCAAGCGGCGCACGAGCAAGCCGGGATTTCGCAAGCCCCGCTTGCTGGCGTGTGGACGTCCGTTGACGACACGGTTTTCCGTAGCGACGGCAAGTGCGAGACGGTCAACGCTCCGGTGACCACGGTCGCGAGGCAGTTTGTCCAGTCGTTTGCCGAACAGCAGTTGCCGATCTCTGAAAAGACCACCTTGATAGGTGCCTCGGGTTCGCTGTGCCGTGGGCTTGAGAGGGCTTGCCGATCAGGAGGGCCGACCAAGCGGTCGACCAAGGCTGTGACACGACAGGTGGATGGCGTCGAGAGGTCCGCGAGTTCGGGGACAGGCGGGCCAAGGGCCGCCTTGGCGCTGGCCGAATCTTCAGGATATGCAAGCATCGCAGGCCTAGAGGTTGACACCAACACCAAGATCGACGGTGTGCCTCCACCGAGGGAAGACGATCCCGATCTCGGTGTTGGTAGTAATATTCTGGCTTCCAAGGTGGCCGAAATATTACCACCAACACCGAAATCTAGCATCATCTTCCCCATGTGGAGGCAACCCCCTGTGCTGGTGTTGGTGTCAATTTCCAGGCCTCCAAAAGCACGCCAGTCTGTCTGGAGTGTACAGTGTTTTTGGAAGGCTCCCTCCCTCAATCCTCCCACGGGCACCGCGTCATGGGCACCCCGCCCTCCACCATCACTATCCTGGGACGCCAGGCCGCGTCCGCTGTGTCGGGGGACTGTTCTAGGGATATGAGGGATATGTTCGACGTCGACCCCCCGCGGTGTGGCTGGGAGATGATGGCCCAGCAGTTTCTCTGCGAAGCCAGCTGCTGCATTCTTGGCTCGCCGTGTGGGCTACTACTCCGAGCCTGCGCAAGCGTGTCGAAGCAGCCCGGGGCCGCGTTCGAGCCAGGGCAGGGCCTTCCCCCAGTCGTGGGCGGAGGCGAGCCAGAGGCCCGCTCGGAGCAGCGCAGGCCACTCTGCAAGACGGTGTCGGGCCACCAGCTTCGGCCACAGGGAGGCGCAGGCCTGCGGCCGGTGAGTGGCAGCTGTGGCGTCTGCCCGAACCCCGCCCGACGAGGCAGGCCCCGATGCCGCTGCCGATGCCCGGGAGCTCCTCGAGGACTCGAGGGAGGACAGTTCGGCGGGGCGGCGATGACGATGGCGATGCCTGCTGAAGGCTGGGTGCTCTCTGCACCCGTGGCTACGGTATCGGGCTCGCCCAGCGCTTGAGCGAAGCTGGGCTGCAGACTCGGTGCCTCGTCATCGTCATCGTCATTGTCGTCGTGGGCTTCCGGTCGCCCCACCAGCACCTCCCTCGTCAGGGGCGCGGAGGCGGTCCGCAGTAAGACCGGGGCGCCCTTGGCGGTCCGAAAAGGAGCCCTTGACGAGGCAGGGCAGCTCACTGCGGTGGCCTCGGCAGCGTCAGTTCTCGAGGCAGGCTACAAGGCCTCCCCCCGTTGCCCCGGGTGCGGAAGGCATTGTGAGCCGCTGTGGTGTAAGATGTGATGGTGACGACGACGATGGCG